CATTGTTTCCTACCTCGGAGCTCAGATATAGTCTTCATAAACATTGCCCATTATGAATAGATACCATCGACAAGATAATACACCATGTTATAATTGTGTCTGTTAGTGGCAGAGCCAGGATTAAAGCAAAGTCTAGGCCCAAAAAATAATTTGGCGACATGGATTTTTCTTTTGCACTTATAACTACCCAAATATACATCATGATATTTTAAAAAATACCATATGTGAGAACATACAAAATAAATCGCAATTTCTCAGCAATTCTAGAATTTAACATCCATGCTTAACAACCAAACAAAAGAGATAAAACATTAAAAACTAGAAATAATAAGACGGATATACAAAAGAGTACCAAATCAGTTGTTTATTTCATTCGTGCCTCCCATAACATGATCAACGACAGAAGAAGAACCATCACCTTCAAGACATCAAAATTGTACTTTCATAAGAAAAGTATACTTCCATAAGATCTTTGACACTAGGAAAGTATACTTTCATAAGATATGCATGCCTGAAACTCTCTTAACTGATATTCAAGAGAAAACTATGACAACTCTATCTCACAAGTTAGCTGGATCTTCTATTTAAGCCAAATGCTAGAAAACCTATTTCAAATGTGAAACACAACAGTGTAATGGGCACCCAAACAAAAACCACTGAGTGCTTGCCATTGTCATTTTCCCAAATAAAATTCGGGTCAAACCTATGGCTATGGGTATGTCAGTGCATTGGGCAAGACTTCTCTATTTTCAGCATGTTGCAACAATTGGTTCAAGCTAAATATTTTTCATCAGATCAAATGAAATCTATCAACTTGAATAAAATGCATTTTAAATTTGTGCGCTGGCTAGCCATGTTCTTTGGTTCAATTGGGAGTAAATGCATAAACTAGAAAAGAACAAAATTGCCTTAGTGCTCAGTAGTGCTCAAATTTGGGTATAGAAACATGCACGCCCTTTGGACGGAACATGGAAAACAGACATAAGGTTATGGTCGTATATCCAGTTATATTACTGTGAGCAATTTGAAGAATTGATTTTCTATCAGTTATGGGTTAGCTAGGCTGAATTAGGCATAAATTCGGATGGTTTTAAGTTGGAAGTAGCCAAGCAATTCAAGTCACCAGACTACAAGGGGTGCCAAACTGTTATGGTTTCTACTGTATGTAAATTTGTGAAGATATATAGGTTTTGTAAGTTGGAACACTACCAATAGACAAGAATACACTTCATATCTTTGATTATAGTTGTACACATTTGTAGCCAAGCATGCACATGTTGTGAACTTGTTATTGAACTCAACTTGCAAGGCACAATTATTCAATTTATATTATAGAAGTTCTAAAATGTGTTTATCTAATATTCAACGGAAACCAATGTTAACATGTTATTTTAGATGGTACACTTTAATGATCTTTACCATGATATTTACCTTATTAAAATATACACCAACAAATGCATATACATGCAAATATGTATATGTACACACTATATATTATATGCAATTGTCCGAAGTTAATTCCAAAAAATGCTAGAACAAAAAATTTGAATTTAGTGGAAGCTAATTTTTGAGTGATATTCATTATAATTGTATAATAAAAACATTATACATAATATTTAGCAACATTATTATGATGGTTAACTATACTATCTATGTATAAAAATATTAAGAATGTAGTATGATCAAACTAATTTTAAATAAAGTATAAAAAAATAGTATTAAAAATTTATTTTAATTGTCATCGGGTCCAAATTTTATTTGAATCACTCTTATAGGAAAAACCTTTTGCGGTTGGAGAGTCCACTATCTGAAAACAATATGCTTCTGTAGATATGGAAACTAATCTAATTAGTAAGCATGCACTTGCAACACACGTCAAAACTAAAATATGTTCTACGATGAAAAAAAATTCTATCATAACATAAACCCACCTTTTGAAAACCTAAAATTTCATGCAAAGAGCATATAATTTCTAAGTCCTAATTCATACAAATCATTACTTACCAACTACCGAAAATCATTTCTAAGTCCTAAGTCCATCAAGACAATCAGCCCCATGAAAAGCCACATCATGCTGGCGGAGGAGTTCGCCTCGGCTCAAAATCCCATTCATTTGTTGTCGAGCAGGCCTGTCGGAGGCGAATATAACTTGTAATTTTTGACAGAGAAATATGCTAATACAATTTAGATGTAAAGAATGACAACTCATACATTTTCCAATATAACTTCTAATTCTTCACATGTAGTAAAAATAATGTCATGTAAATATTTGAAAGGTTTGTTATTCACGGGGATTTCTAAATCTACAAGCAGTAAAAAATAACATTATAGAATAGCCAAAAAACTATATGTGAATTCTTTTTACCTTTTACTTTTTTATATTCTTGTTGCTGATACAGATTTATCATTTTCTAGTTATAACTTACGCCATTGTTTTGTTTTTGGGTTGTGAAGTACCATACAAAAACTATGGTATGTTATTTGCATATGAAACTTGAACCAAAGTTTGCAATTTGAATAAACAAATACAACAATCCTCGCAAATTTTTGTTTCAATCAGCTGGAACTCATATATTTTTTCAATCAATAGACAAGTACACTATTTTGGTCAAATTTGTAGAAAGAATGACGGAAGAAGTTGTTGGTAACTGTAGATTGTAATTCAAGCATCTAGGTTTCCACTCAACTCAAACTTCAACACGACAGACGTCAACTCGTGAACACGGCCATCTTCCTGCTTCACAAAGAGCAATCAAGTCTCAACCTGCACCATTAGAACTGCCACGTCCCATATCATATGTCATGCAAACGTAGTTTGAAAGCTAAAATCAGCTTTCTTTTGCCCTTCTTACATGGTGTAGACTAGTTCTCATTTCACTAAGAGTTGTGTTATGCTGCCTTTTTCTTGCCTTCCTGATAACATATGCTTTTCATGAATGTTCGATCTAGCTAGAAACAATATCTTGTTTTGGCTTTTCCAATCAAATGAGGATTTCCCATCACATGGGATTCATTTGTGTTAGCTGCAACGAATAATCAACCGCCTGTCAAGTGCCTTTCTTACTAAACTACTCCCTCTGTCCCAAAATATAAGAACGTTTTTGACACTAACGTAGTGTTAAAAACGTTCTTATATTGTGGGACGGGGGGAGTAAGTTTTATAATATCTAGAAATTAATTGACAAGAATTTTGCTATGGTAGGTATTGCATGTAATACACACTTGTCTCTTTTATGAGAATTTTCATTTTCTACATTAATACTGACAAGTGTTGAATATTTAGGGAACTAATCATTCTTTCATATTGACCATTATCTCCTCCGCGATAGGTGTGATTAAGATATCATAGATCATACCAAAGATATTGTTAGCATGTAATAGATGAAAGAAGTTACAATATTAATTCATAAATTTAGTGTTGCTCACATATGTTATGGAGTGGTACTTAGTGTTTTCCATTGCTTTTGCTCTACATGTGAGAGGTTGACTAGAGAAATGTCCCGAACATTCTTGAATTCAGTTCCTATGCATATCTGTTCACCCTTTTTGCCATACAAAATGATGGTGTTTTGCTTGGAGGAAAATTTGTGGCTCAATTATTGAAGATATTAGGTTTCCATGCATGTTCTTAGACGAATTATTTTAGGTTGTACTACAGATCAGTACATCTACATGCTTGGTACGTTGACATGTTTTATTCAAGGGAGAATATATTGGTGGTCTCCTTCGTAGGTTCATTTGCAAAGAGGTTTCGATGTCCATACAAAATGTATCAAGATCAGATATGCAGGGTTAGCAAAATTTCAGTAGACAATAGTGTAGCCGCTAATTTGGAAGAGGTCAACATATGAATATATTATGAGTCGTATTGTCCAACAGAGCCCCTTCTTTTATGTTCCTCTCATACTAAAACTTAACTTGTTGATTCCTGCAGGAACCATGTTATTTTTGTATATTTCCATGAACAAGGTGCAATGTCATGTGTTCATGAGAAGTGTCATGCTATTAAGAATTTATCATGTGCTCTTCTTGTGCAGGAGGACCCATGCAGTGGTGTGCAAGCCCACATGATGCATATAAGACAAGAGTCGAGCCTGGAGGAAAATTTGGAGCTTGGCTTGTCCAAGTAAAGTAAACCATTTCATTTGGAGACTCACTCGTACGTGGCAGTGCTCTACCGACACAGATGAATGCTTGAAGGAGAGGCACCAATACATACCCCTTCTGCTATGTATGCCAAATACAAAATGGAGGTGGTGGCCACCCAACCTGTTTTTAAGACCTAAATATGTGAAATTGATGGTGGCGCGTGGAGCTCTTTGAAGAAGAGAGGCCAAATCTCTCATGAAGCATATCTTTGTTGAATAGACTGAATTATCCATATTTCGGAAAAGGAGGCAGGTGAAAGAAGCTGAGTGCTTTTAGGAGCCATCGATGGTCCGACCAAGGCAAGGTGAACACGTGTGATGCAGTCAATTCAACATCTGACTTGTTGGTCGCAAACACTTTGCTATGAATTCACTAAACTTGAGCCGATGGTAAAAATCCATGTGCCTAATCCTGTTAGCTCCTGGTATGGAGTGGCTAAAGGTGGATCTCGATGCTGGATGCCGGTGGACTGTGTCATCAGCCATCAGAGCGTGGGCTCTGGTTGTTTGTTGCCGATATATGATCTATCCGTTTAAAAACACTCTCTCATTTCATAGTTCTTGTTGTGATTTTAATTAAGTTTTAGTCTAAATTAACCAAAACCACGGGAAAGACCTTATCAATCCCAAACAAACATCAAAGCTGCGAAGGCACTCGCAGCCTCGCAGCAAGAGAAGGCGGAAACAGCTGATACGCGAACCTCCCGGGAATGCGGCTTCCATCTGCGGGAAGCGGAAAGAGGGCCGGCTTCGAAGACGGCGGAAGCGACTCTTGGGTCGCGTCGTCTCCAATCTTCCACTCTGACCGACTCCCGACCGATCTCCGCCGGAGCCTGCACGACGCCGTCGCCGATGTGGTTCGCCGGCCGGGCGAGCGCCACCGCGCCGCTCCCCCTCCTCCTGCTGCTCCTGGTCGCCGGCGCTGCCGCCACCGACCAGATCTTCACCACCTCAGGTAATCATCAATCGCGCCAGGGCCTCATCCCGATCTCAGCCCCTCCCTCCCCTCCCGGCCACCCTTGGAATCTGAACCCCCTCTTCTTCTCGCGTCTCCCTTGCGCGCTTCCTGGCCAGATCCAGCTCTCTGCTGTTCAAAATCACTCCACTGTCTCGCCGTGTTCACCTAATGCGATGCAAAATTCCTAACTGGTTGCCATATCTAGCTCGTGTTGGTTTGTTGGTTACTGAAATTAGATGGAGGACTGCACTCTGAATTGTTGGTGATTTTCAGGTGTGCCTTTCGGGAAGAACTCGCGCGAGCCGAGGTACCGCGTGGAGTTCCATCCAGTCGATTCGCCCTACCACCCGGTGAGTGGTTGACTCCTGACGAGTCCTAGTTCTGTTCTCTACCAGCAGGTTAACATGGGATTTTCTTCAGTTCTGAATTGCCGGGTTTAGCGAATAAGAATTTAAGCCGCCATAAGATGATGATGCTTTTTTTTATTGCAATAAGATGATGATACTACCAAGAAATAATAATCAGCCCATCACATGTTAAATGTATGTAACTAGCTAAGATCTCAAAAGAGTGAGGAATAGCAAGAGGAACTGCCTATCCTCTGTTTCTCAAACAGGGGAATATGCTATAAGCAATGCTAATTCACTATTGTTTCTACTAAGTCATGTGTATCCCATGCCATTGTAGTTACAAACTCTGAATTTGGGTCTTTCTTTTACCTAAATTCCTTGCTGCAGAGGTTGCTGTTTGACAAACCTAATTCCTCTAGCTAATTGTAACTGTTAACGAAAGATACTTGCTGTTCTTCTGCAGGAGAATGGCCAGGAGTCTGAACCAATGACGGACCACGAGGGGAGACAATACACCTGCTACCTACCAGTGGAAGAAACCAAGACCATGAAGTCGATTGTCCCACAGAATGCAACCAATGTTATAATAGAAAGCGAACGGAAAGTTAAGCCAAAGGAGCCAGATGAACTGCTGGAGGTTCTCAAAGACCAGTGCTTCTACAGGGTGAGCATACAACTCTTTCTTTGTGCATGATAAGCACATGGGGCATATGTTTGGTCTCGTGCATGTGTGCCAGGCTAATGGAATGCCTGAAAAACGATCTGATTGTTACTGTTGTTGCTGACACAGCATGAAGGTTGGTGGTCTTATGAGTTCTGCTATTATGGAAAAATACGACAGGTTCATGTAGAAAATGAGAAGGTAAGCCATTTTCTTTGTGAGGGTCATAGACTCATAGTAAATAGGCATGCAAATTTAGAACCTTGAGGGTACCCTCCGACCCTCTTTAGTTCAACCAAATGAACTAAATTTCCAGCGTTCACTTTATTTTTGAAACTTCAGTTCATTTAGTTGAACTATAAGTAGGGTCAGAGGGTACCCTAAAGGTTCCAAATTTGCATCCCTAATAGTAAATAGATTGTGCTTATGTTGATTTTTCTACCCTCCACAAAAACTAATTCCGAATTGTTTCTGTACAAATATTGCTAGAACTGAACTCATTTACATTGTGAAAGAAGCAAACAATTTTTCTTTTGCTCAAATAATATAATACGGTTTCAATTATGTATCTTCATGCTTTCACAGTGTTATCTATGCACTTCGTAGTTGGTACAGCTTTTGAGCACCAATAGAATTACTGTGGCTTCAGTTACATATCTGCATGCTTTGCACGCCGTGGTTGCTGCTAGCACTTTTGAGTTGCCTTTTGAGTGTATATATCTTTTCTTGAAGGTTATCCAAGAGTATGTTCTAGGTGAATATGACCCTGATGCAACCGATGCTTACCATGACAATCACACCTCCGAGTCTGCTGATGAGGATCACGTGAAAGATACTTCTAAGAGGTATGATACTAAATTTGGAAAGAAGGATACAAACAACATCTGGAAGCAGAACTCTGATGAATATTTGCTGTTTCTGTGCCAATTGCAGGTATCATGTCCATGTGTACACAAATGGAACTGTATGTGATCTCACAGATATACCGCGGTACACAGAGGTAAGAAAAATAAATAGGAAAGTAGCAATATTTGTGGCTGTGGTTCTAACTTACAAGCGGTTTGATCACTATGGTGTCCTCCTGTCGAGTAGTGCATTTAACAGTACATACCCTGCCTTCTTCCTACAGGTTAGGTTTGTTTGTTCTGAGCCCACTGTACTGATCAGTTCGATAAAGGAGATATCTTCCTGCAAGTATGTTTTAACTGTCCAAAGCCCAATGCTCTGCAAGAACCCGTAAGTGCCATCTTTTCGTCTTGTTCTTCAGTTGACAGTCTCTTATTGTTCTATGATCTGAACTCATTTACGTTGTTCTGTTTGCAGGTTGTTTCAGCAGGAAAAACGCACCTTCTTCATCCACTGCAATGAGTCGCTTCCCGAAGCAGAAGCTGAGCCCGCCGAGGACGACGACTCTCTCCCAAAAGAAGCTCAGATGTCCATCGTTCCAAACCCCGACGAATTGCATAACTACGCAGCTTACGCTACCTGATTGCCCGCCAATCACGGTGCCCCCAGCTGATGAAAGATACCGTTATTTTGGAGGTTCAACAGCAAGTTGGCAACATAGTATAACTATCCCCTGGCTTGGTTCTGTCTGACGCCAACTAGTGGTTACAGGGTGCTCTTTGAGCAGATATCCATTACCGAAACAGGTTGAGATTGCCTTAGAGGTAGATTAAGGGCAAACCAAGAGTGTCCTGCTGTACTGTAGTGGTATATAATTTAGTAAAGGGGGTATTTGAGATTCAGTGGCAGGCTTTAGACACATCACCAACAATTTTCTTCTTAAAATGTTCATAAAAACAGTGCAGTGATCTTGAGAGGTTGTGCTTGCTACGCTATTTGCGAATAGAGAGATTGCCCTGAAGCAAAGGACCATCTTGTGAGCGAAGGTAGTGCTTGCTTCTGAGTGCAGATGTTAGGATGCCTTTGCCCTGACCATTCTGTTGATGGCTTCATCCTTTTTGAATTTTGATGCCAAGCTCAAGAACAAGGAGCATGTGGGTTAGGGTTTAGAAAATAGAAGCAGGCGGCAACTATCTCTGGCAGATCTCCACCCATGTTAGTACACCGTGCTGAAGAGATTAAGGCCTGAGGGTGGGATTCAAGGCAGTCAAACAAGGCGAGGTGCTTGGCATAGTCACTGGCTTATGCAATGCAACCCAGCATCATAAGCATTTTGTGGACACAAATTGCGATAGCATGAGTTTTATGTGCCACACACATTGTAGGCGAAATTATAACTGTGTCGATCAAAGCCTTGTTTAAGAAAGAAAAACTTGTGACGTAAGCATTTCACCTTGTTTGACAACCAGATTGCCTTGAATCCCGCCCTCAGCCGTTTCTTCGACGGTACTGTGATGTAACATTGGGGGGAGATTTCCCAGAGATGCTACTTCTATTTTCTAAGCTCTGAACAATATGCTCCTTGTTCTTGGACTTAGCATCCAAAGGTAAAATTATCAAAAGAATGGCCGGGCCATCCAAACATCTGCAATCAGAAGTAAGTAGTGTCTTTGTTCACAGGATGATTCTTCACTTCAGAACAGTCTCTGCTTTCTACTGGTAGAGGCTTTGATAACTCAAGTATGCATGAATATCAACATACCGCATTATAACATGTAAGTTCGGAGTCATATATACATGGTGTAGATTTAATTATCCTAGTTCAGCCCATTGAAAATTAAATTATAGCTACAAAATTTTCAAAGGCTGCAAAGTATGACACGACATGAAATTCACATGATGGCCAGCCCCTGGTGACACGGGGGCGATCTACAGCCGCCGGCCCTAGGCCTCCGCTCCTCTCTTCCCCCTCCTGCCGCCGCCCGAGGCCACGCCGGCATAGCCTGGTCAGTGATGGCGGCGGCGGGGCCTCCCCCTCGCGCGGTGGTGGCGATCTCCTGTCGTCGTCGGCGGCTCATTAAAAGTGTGTTATATCGACTAGAGGGGGGGGTGAATAGGCGATTTTTATGAAATTCTTCACTAAGGAATTTGCCGGTGAGGAAATTTCTTAGCGAAGAACTATTAATAGCGGAATGAGTACTCAAAAGTAAACATAACAGAATACAAGTATAGTCATCATGATGAAATGAAGACAGGCACAGAGTACAGAAGCGTAAGCACAGGATAACACAGGATGAAGACAAACAGACTGAAGAAATTGAATTGAGGAAATTGAAAAAGTCTTCAGTCAAAGTCTTCAAACACAGATATGAACAAGCACACAACACAGTTATGAGGAAATGAAAGAGTTGAGGAAATAGAACCAGTAAGCTTGGTGAAGACAATGATTTGGTAGACCAGTTCCAACTGCTGTCTCAGTTGTACGCCTGGTTGGAGCGGTTGAGTATTTAAACTTGAGGACACACAGTCCCGGACACCCAGTCCTGAACACGCAGCTCAGGACACCTAGTCCTCACCGTATTCTCCTTGAACTAAGGTCACACAGACCTCGTCCAATCACTCGTGGTAAGTCTTCAGGCGACTTCCAAACCTTCACAAACTTGGTCACTCAGCGATCCACAATTCCACTTGGATGCTCTAGACCATGACGCCTAACCGTCTGGAAGAAGCACAGTTTTCAAGGTAACAAGCGTCGGATCCACGCAGGATCAATCTCTTCAGTGATGCTCAATCACTTGGGGTTTGTAGGTGTTTGGGTATTGGGTTTTTCCTCACTTGATGATTTTCGCTCAAAGTCCTCGGAGGATGGGTTGCTCTTAAATGACAAGTGTCAGTTTCTCTCGGAGCAGCCAACCAACTAGTGGTTGTAGGGGGCGGCTATTTATAGCCTAGGGAGCAGCCCGACATGATAAGACATAAATGCCCTTCAATGATATGACCGTTAGGTGGATAGATATTTTGGGACAGCTGGCGCATAGCACATCAACGGTCGGAATTTTGAGTAGCAAAATCCTCAGGGCTATCATGTTCCTCACTGTGTAGGCAATCCGCACTAGCGAATTCCTAACTCCTCAGTCAGGACAAATTCCTCAGAGACCAGAAGAACTTCGCCTCTGTAAGGGAATATTTATCCCTACGGTGTTTTGGTGATTGATGACAATGCATTTGCGCACTAATCGGGTGCTTTGAGTTCTTTCAGATATTCATCCTTCGGCACGAAACGATTATTTCCCCTCGGCGCTCTACTCAAGACGGTGTAGCTTCCTTCGTGACTTTGTTGGTGGACTAAGTTTCGTAGTAATCACCGTACTATCAAGAGGGGATCTGCTTCGGTATGGTTTGGGTGGAATCAACACGTACACGTTCTTCTCACACCCACCGTTTCTTTCCGTCTCTCTGGAGCTCCTCTTTTCTCCTCTGTGCGTCTTTTCCTGGACCCAGCGGTAGTACCGCGGGCCACAGCGGTAGTACCGCTGAGACTCACTAAGCGGCAGTACCGCTCCTCGGAGCGGTAGTACCGCTTTATGGCCCCAGCTGCAGTACCACTGCGGCTCCATGCTCCTACCGCCTCGACTCGAGTGCGCATTTTCTCATGTCGGGTTTTACGGCACTAGCTGCAGTATAGCGGTAGTACGGCTAAAGCTCAGCAAGCGGTAGTACCGCTCCTCCGAGCGGTAGTACCGCTGGATGGCCTCAGCCGCAGTACCATTGTGGCTCCGTGCTCCAACCGCCTCGACTCGAGTGCGCATTTTCTCGTGTCGGGTTTTACGGTACTAGCTGCAGTAGTAGTGGCGGTAGTGCTGCTTGCGAGCGGTAGTACCGCCCTGCCTCCGCGGTAGTACCGCTTTGGGTCCCAGCCCCAGCCCCTTCTCTTCTAGCGCGGCAGTACTGCTGAGGTGGAGTGGTAGTACCGCTTGTGAGCGGTAGTACCGCCCTGCCCCCGCGGTAGTATCGCTCTCTGTGGGGCTGAGTGGGGGGTAACGGTTGGATTGTTCCCCCCACTATAAAAGGGTGTCTTCTTCCCCCCTTTTGACTTACCTCTTGCACCATTAAAGCTCCATTATTGCTCCAAGCTTCATTTTTGCCCGATCTCACTCCCTAGCCAACCAAACTTGTTGATTTGCTCGGGAGTGGTTGAGAAGGCCCCGATCTACACTTCCACCGAGAGATTTTTGATTCCCCCACTCATCCTTAGCGGATCTTGTTACTCTTGGGTGTTTGAGCACCCTAGACGGTTGAGGTCACCTCGGAGCCATATTCCATTGTGGTGAAGCTTCGTGGTCTTGTTGGGAGCCTCCGATTAAGTTGTGGAGTTTGCCCCAACCTTGTTTGTAAAGGTTTGGTCGCCGCCTTCAAGGGCACCAATAGTGGAATCATGGCATCTCGCATTGTGTGAGGGCGTGAGGAGAATACGGTGGCCCTAGTGGCTTCTTGGGGAGCATTGTGCCTCCACACCGTTCCAAGGGAGACGTACTTCCCCTCAAAAGGAAGGAACTTCGGTAACACATCCTCGTCTTCACCGGATCCACTCTTGGTTATCTCTTACCTTTACTTGTGCAAGCTCTTTAGTGTTTGTTCCCTTGCTTGCTTGTGTGCTTGTTGTTGTTGCATCATATAGGTTGTTCACCTAGTTGCACATCTAGACAACCTACTTTGATGCAAAATTTAATTTGGTAAAGAAAAGCTAAAGATTGGTAGTTGCCTATTCACCCCCCCCTCTAGTCAACCATATCGATCCTTTTAATTGGTATCAGAGCCTCGTCTCTTTATTAAGGACTTTACCGTCCAAAGAGTATGGTTGATACCGTAGATGGAGCGGAGGAACACTCCGGTGTGAATCCTATCTCGTCTACGTGCGATGGGGGAACTTCGGTCTCTCGTGAGGAGTTCAATGTAGCTTTGGAGACATTGAAAACATCCATGACGACCGAAGTTGAAAACATGTTTACTAAATTTTTTGAGGGGCTTAAACTATCCACCGCACCGTTGAAAGTGGGGGATCCCACCAACAAGGTGTCGGATGCTATCCCCGACAAGGGGGAAGCTAGTAGTGAAAAGGCTCCTTCTTCTAGTGGCAAGAATGGCACCGGCATCTTTGCCCATGTGGAACCACCACTTGTGTATGGTGGACCGGTTCCTTCTACTCATTTGAATCATGCCGGTCCTCCTCCTAAGATTGTGAAAAATGAGGATTTTGATTCTTGGGTTTACCGCTTTAAACGTCATTTAAATCATGTGAAGACTAACCTTTGGAGAATCATTGAAGAAGGTTTCTACCCACATGATCCAAGAAACTTCACTCCTCGAGAAGCCGCGGACAATCAATTCAATGAGAATGCTCTCTTCATCATTCAAGATGCAATTCCACTCGAAGACCTACCTCATCTTCGTCCCTTCGCCTTGGCCAAAGATGCATGGCATTGTGTCGTGTCTCTCTACCGGGGAAGCGCAAGCATTCAACGCTCCAACTATGAAGTGGTACAAGATGAGGCCGATGAGTTTGCAATGAAGGAAGATGAAGAACCTCGTGAGCTTTATCGGAGAGTCACCAAACTCGCGGTCTCACTACGAGATCACGGGAGCAAGGACACGGATGACAATTGGATCAAGCGCAAATTCCTCAAGGCGATGATGCCCTACCACAAGGCCATGTCCTCCGTCATCCGCTAAAGACCGGACTTCCATACTTTGA